GGAAACAAAACGTACATCAGTTGAGTTTGAGGTTATGGTTAACCCATACTGAAACCCAATGCGGGCATGTTATAAGAAATGATTCGTTTTTAATACGATTTTCAAAAGCTACTAAATCTGCATCGCCTCATCGCTGTGTTAGCTGACTTATCTGTGAGCGGTTTTTCGGGGTTGCGAAGAAATGTAGGTGCTTTATTATTATCCTACCCCGAATTGGTGAAATCAACAGGTCACGGGACAGTCTAATATTCTAGGGGTGGTAGATAGGCTGCATGCAGTGATGTTACCTAAGCTGCACTCTCTCGTGGGACGTCGGTGGGTTGGGGTTAGGGCCAGTTATAGATGTTTTGGGGTTGTTAAAAGCACAAGAAAGCCGGTAAACCCAGTCTTACCATCCTCTAAAATGTTGGACTGTCCTGTGACGTCATTTGGGGTAGGATATTAATAAAGAACCGAAATGTATACGTTTATTGTCTCCAAGATACAGCTGGTAGTACATCTTCCACTTTCTTCTGATGGCTTAGTACAGTAGCTCTCAACCTCCTAATGCCGCGACCCTTTAATACAGTTCCCTCCTGTTGTGGCAATCCCTCAGACAATTATTTTCCTTCACAACTTCCACAAATGTGTGTTTTCCGGTGGTCTTAGGCGACCCCTGTGAAAAAGGTCGTTCGACCCACACACAAAAAAGGTCGCGACAGACAGGGTGAGAACCGCTGGCCTGTAATGTTGCTTCTATCCTTTATTGGTACATTTGCTGCTACAGCCGTCAAGAAAGGCAGAACGTTCACAGCGCAAGGGTGATGTCTTTATTACATTGTGAGAATCTACGTGTCCATTTCTTCCGCAAGCATGACGTAAAGGGCAACTAATTATGGATTTTCTGAAATATGACGTATTGGGTCAAAAGATTTCGCAGCGCAAGTGTAAACTAGAAGACAACGTAACAGTCGCCCATTTAGGAGACGGAGAGTAGCTGAAAAGGTAAAACAAAATTAGGAAAAGATAGGGAAACTTAAATATTCATGGCAAAGATATGAAATGGACTAGAAAAAGAACATCATCATCATGTATGGTGAAAATATGGGGGTGAATACAAGGAATTCCAGGGAAATTTGACTAACAAGTTTGACTAAAATTGTTGAGCTTTTTAGTCAAATTTCTTTGGAATTCACCATCATGTAGCAGATCCTTTGCAGAATGTCGCTCTCATCAAGGTCTGCCTAAAGAAACTAGGTCTCTCGCCAGTTCTCCCGCCTCATGCACTTTCATACTCAAGGAGTCACTTATATCCTGTGCCCATCTTCGTGTTGGTAGGTCCCTGCCCCTCCTTCCTGGTACCATACCTTCTGCTCTAATGTTTTTCTAATCGGTCGATATGACCAAAATATTTCAGCTTCCGAGACAGGATGCTGTTTATTAGGCAATCTTCCTTGATGTTCAGATCTTTCAAGATGTCAGTATTTCACCTTTTTTTCGTCCAAGATATAATGAGAATCGTTCTAAAGCATTTCAGCTCAAAAGAGAAAAAGAAGACAAAAGCAAAATTATAACTCTTGCCAGTTAACAGCTGATGATGTCTTTGCTTCCACAACACAAAACGTTCTTGGAGTGATCAACGAGCAATGAACGTACGACAATAATACATGTTAACGTCTTTTTGGGTACCATAAAACGGCCGCACTCTTAATACGTTTTACAAAGCCCAAAACAATATCATTTTTAAACAGACTTGTGGAGGCTTACGGGAGGATAGGGGGGTCAAGCGGGGTCATCACCCGGGCGACCTTTAGCGATGTACACGTGTGAGTGTATCAAACGACGACTGCGGTGGAGGTGGCAGAATAATAAACAGAATCCTACAAGGAGCGCGTATCTTTGGGTGTCGACATGTAATTAGGCCGGGACTCGTAGATAGCTGGAGCATCATTGGACAAGACAAATTGTCTCAATACGTTTGTTCCAGTAGCCGCCGGTAGAGCTGACTAAAGGAGGTGTTTGTTTATTAGAAACATCGAATCCTCCGTGAGAATAACACAGTCGGACGTGAGAAACATCAACCAGCCATGGACGGCCAAGTCAAAGCGGCTATGATGCTGGTTTTGATATCATGCGTGACATCAATCAATAGACGCGGGTTCAAATCCAGAGCTGAACAATGCAAAAATGTTTTCATCTATGAAAGGTAACAGCTATTTTACAAGTAATGTGCACACTTCCAGACATCATAGAGGGAGCGGGGATCTTTGTCTGCACACTGCAGAATATATTTCAAGATTAAGGCTGAAATGCGCATCTTGTACACTGGGCACAGTAATCAGTGGTAAAGCTAAAATGTATAACCTGAACGCTGCTTGGTTATAATAAGGGCACGCGTTCAAATCCAGTCAGCAGGCTGTGTGGTTATTGCTAGCGTAAGTGTTAAATTCGTCGCTCATTGACAGGTACTGTTAGTTAGTTGCGTATCCTTAACAAGACGTTGCAGAACCAACCCCAGCAGCCCCTGGCTGTTGTGTGGTTTTTCTAGGCAAATTTACGTCCAGTAGTTTGCCAATGCTACCTGGACGGTCGGCTCCTTGATACCACTGTCGAAACCAACGCAAGGCACATGGCCCGCAGCTGGGATCGAACCCAGCATCCCGGCATTACGAAGCGTCGCATCGACTTAGCCACAGAGCCGACTGATAGGTACTGTTCAGAACGGAACGGAATTACGTGGTCAGCTGGAAAAAAAAAAAAACAGAGGGAAACTGGAACATGTAACCACTAAAAAGACCCGGCTGAAAGAGAGACAGGGCAAGACAACGCGAGAAGACTCTTGATAACCCATTTTTCTCATGTGATAAAGGGGTTTCAACATACGAACTGACACGCAGTTGTGGCTCGCAAATTGTGCTGATGTATGATCGCCTTGGCACTTGATGATGATGATGATGATGAATGTTCGGAGCAATAATAATTTTGCCAGAATTTAGGATTGACGCACCAACCCTGACGTTACTTGCCGCCGGAAGTGTTCAAGTGGAAACAAAGAGCTGGCGTGCTTTCGGTTGAATACTTGCCAAAAGTGAATAATATGTCTTCTGGGTGCGAGAGAGAGAGAGAGAGAGAGAGAGAGAGAGAGAGAGAGAGAGAGAGAGAGAGAGAGAGAGAGAGAGAGAGGGGTGGCTACAACCGGACTGGTCCGTGTTAACTCAAGTAGCTTTAGGATAGAACTGTAGAGGAACTGAAGCAATCCGTAGCCACTGCAACCGCAGCTGAATGTTTTAGACAAATATATCTTCTTCTTTTTTTCCAGTAAAGTTTTTACCCCCTCCAGATTTGCAGTCCGTAATATTAACATCTTAAGGAGGAGAGTCGACCAGATATAATTCACTAAAAAAAAACCCGTTCAGACGAATAGCACGGTTACACTGCGACAAAACAAAACGGTTATGGTGCAACCTGTAGTTCACTGTGGGTAATTAGTTGTGTATCCTTTACAGGACGCTGCAGAACCAACCCCAACAGCCCCTTGCTGTTGTGTGGTTTTTCTAGACAAACTTACGCCCAGTAGTTTGCCATTGCTACTGTAAGGTCGACTCTCTTGATACCACTGTCGAAACCAACGCAAGGTGCATGGCCCGCAGCTGTGATCGAACCCGGCATTACGAAGCGTTCGCATCGACTCAGCCACAGAACCGACTCACTGTGGATGGGCAGTGTAAAATATAATGTGTTATGAACTGACAGCTTTGCATGGCCCATCCCGTAAATAATTTTGTATAAAAAGTCGCTGACACAAAACACAAGCGAACTTAATAAACGCTTATTAAAATGGACTAAATTAACAAACTTGGAACAGATGTTGGCGATACATGCTGTACCCTGTCTCTTGGCCTATATTTGACTCTCTCTCTCTCTCTCTCTCTCTCTCTCTCTCTCTCTCTCTCTCTCTCTCTCTCTCTCTCTCTCTCTCTCTCTCTCTCTCTCTGGTGGGGCGATGAGGCCAGTCCAAGGGAATACAATCTGGTGTGAGGATCCAACTCTTAGAGTTCTTGAACTCCCCCTGGACCTACACGTTTATCCCTGTTGGAAATAAATATGTAGGAATCAAGTGGTCGTCGTGATAACCTGCCTGCGACCGTCAGCGTTAATTATATGGATGCTTGTTGCACCGTGAACCCAGCGCTACGCTGGCTATTGATTTCTACAGCTTGAGTCGGTCACTAAGGGCTTTTACAAAGCTGCTACCGAGACCCCGATCTCAGCTTAACGTTCAATAACGAGTACACATTCCGGGTCATTCACCTCATTAATTATCACGATCCACGGACAGCTCCAGAAGGGGACATGTTACTTTCTTCAATGATCATAGACAGTTTGTGGATGAGCGAAAAATTATGTGGAAGCGACGGAGATGTGGTTTTATAGACGAATGGTGAGAATACCCTGGACAGACAAACAGAGTCATTAAGACATCTCGAAGAAACTGATTCGCAAGGAGAACCCATCCGAAGAAGACACGCTGCACTCTTTGGTCATGTCATAAGAAGGTGACAACTGCACCTCATTACAACAGTAAGAGAAGACAGACAGAGGTAGATGAAGATGCCGGACACTTTGCCATCACGGCATGGAGGATCCTCTGTTTAAGAGCTGACTGAAAGTACACGAGATAGAAAGTTGTGGATATACTCGACTACACACGCCATGGACTTTTAAGAAGAGAACGGCTCTCTGGCGAAGTTGGTTAAACCTGATTTTCGCGGCGGCCGGGTGACGAACTCCTTGTGGTCCGGGTTCACTACCGGGGGTAGGCAGAAAAGCCACATTTCTCCCAGATTAACGGTACCTATAATGGAATCAATGCCGAAGGGTTGCGATATCCATAGTACCGAGCCAAAGGGTTTACAACTCATGGTTTCTGGATACGTTTAAAAAAAAAATAAGAAGAAGAAAAGACACACGGAGTAGCTAGCCACAAATACAAAGCACACAAGCTATACAGTCCCACTTACCGTCAAACTTTTTCGTACGTGAAGCAAAATTAGTTTTCAGCAGTTTAAAAGGCTCATCGAGCTGTCGTATGTGTTCTTTATTAGTCAGAGATACTAACTTGTCCTCCATGCTCCGCGTGCAGCACGTCTCTGTGTGAGGACATATTGATAAATCCATACCTGCGGAAAGGTAAAAATTAACAGGTAAGTTTTCTTGCCTTACTATAATATAATAATAAATAACAACATTTACCCGTCTTTATAATGGAGATCAGCCACGGTGGGTATGTGTATTCACTGCCACCTTGCGAATATTACGTTGTGAGACCACAATCTCTTTCATGGTGCGACTCTCAAACAAGTGCTGCCTCAAAGCATCAGGCGGTTCCTCACCAACACAGGGTTAGTGTTAATATGTTTATGTCAAGTGACTTGTCATAAATAAAAAATGTAATTCTTGTCAGTGATTGTCGTCGGGGCCCCAGCACACTTATCTGTCCACGGGCCCTAATATTGTTAACATGGTTGAGTTTCAAGCCACTGTTTGAAATGCATAAGAGCAAGCAGTCTTCTAAATCACCTGCTACGTCAAGCATTGTGAAATGTGCTCACAAATCTCTAAGCCACACAACTGCCCTAGCTCCATGGATACAAACAATATATTTCATATTCATTTATTTCCTGATCCAATCTAACAGTAACAATAACACAGTTAGGTTACCAAATCTTCCACGGTAAGATTCTCGATTTGGCTTGAGCCCCTGATTGATTTGATTTGATTTGATTCAAGAACCGACATCACAGCACTCGGGGCATTTCCATAAGCGCTCTGTCCCCATCTTCAGCAGCCAGCGATGAGTTCCGATACTAATAGTGCGTAGCATTCTGATTAAACGTCCGTCTTGCCTTTCATCTGAGCCTCGAGCATTTGCCAGAACCTCTCGTTACCCCCAACTGCATTAATCTCACCAGAATGTGGTGATCCATCTGCTCCTCCGAATTGTACACGCTCTCCCACAAGGCACTAACCATGTCTGCTCTATCATGTATCAGTATTCCACCAAGTTGTTCAGAGCCAGCCAGTCTGTCCGCCTGTTCATTTCCCAACACACCTGCGTGACCCGGTGAAAAAATCCAGACAATACTCCTCACTCGTGTCCTCCGCAGCGAAGCATGCCACTCTGCAAAAAGCATACCTGTTCTGATCTTCCTCAGCATGCTTTCTGAATCAGTTACAATCACGATGTGTGTGTGTGTGTTGTGTTCTCTAGCCAGCGGAAAGCGGCAGTGACCGCCTCCACCTCCATTCTTAAGCTGGATGTTGTGGTAAAGTCTCCACTCGGGGGTAATTGGGAGAAGTACCACTGCCCACAAGCTATGAGGACGAACTAAAAGACCCACCATGGAAATCGAGCTTTAATATGTCAAGATTGTGAAATCAGTTTACTAATCTATAAGAGAAGTATCTCCTGCACAAACATCAAAGTAACAGATATTCAAGCTATGAAACTGCCACTTTACAGCTAATTTTCCTTCAAAGTCGGCGTGCATCTCTTTGGGAGGCAAGAAACCAACAGTATGCATACAAAATAAGTCAGATCTGTAACACAGACATGCACGCAAAACTCAGGCTCTGGAATAAGTCTAGGTCCAGAAGTTGACAAACAGCAAAACTTTCCGCCGGAGTTTACAGCCGGTGAACGCGAAGAAGAGGGGGGAAAACTGCAACAACTTTCCATTTTGTCACAAAACATTTGCTGTAGGAAGGCTAACAAAAACAAATAATGGTGCTACTGGTAAATTCTTCTTCTTCTTCTTCTTCTTCATTATTTACCGGCTGTAAGCTCCGGTGGATAGGCCTCGATGTTCGTCCATTTGGACTTTGGCTTTGAGCCACGGTCTGAGTTTTGTTTGTAAATCCCGTGTACTAGCTTTGTGTGTGTGCAGTTGGTTGTTCCTTGTCGCTCAGGCAGATGCAGTCTTATTCGAAAGAAGCTCCCAATTAGTCGACTCCTACGACATGCCTGGGTGGGGGAGGGGGAAGGGTCAGTGGGTCTGTTCTTAATTTCCTTACAATGGGGTGCTGGAACCCACACGGGAAACCGGTACGGTACAGAAACTATCCTACTTCACGGAACTCTTTCTCGACACATACTTCTTCTATATTCTTCTTTCGTTGGCCATTGAAAGGTCATTTCGCAGTTATGTTGCGGGTTACAACTATGTTGTAGTGTAGATCATAACTATGATGTACAAGTATGTTGTAGTTCACAACTATGTTGTGAAATATTATGTGTACCTTTCAGCACAACACATTTCATCACATTGAAAACGTTTCTACCCCCCCCCCCCCCCCCCTTACCTAAAAGAAAACTAAGGCCCTGGAATTAATATTCATTCCAATGATATAATCTCCTGCACCGACGTCAAAGGTCAAGAACATCTACAACGTAAAGAGATCTGATTATTCGTATCAGGAGACAATCTACATTCTTTGAACACATCACAGCGGAGGGAAAATGGAGGGGGGATAAACAGCTTAAAAACCAAGAGACAAGTCGCTGGACAGTTTGCGGTGAAGGTATAGCAGTTTACGTGCGTCCGAAATAATTGAAACTACACGAGTCAGAAGGCTGAGGTCAGATATGACTTTCGACGCCATAAGGACACCTGTAAAATATAAAATACCTCAATTTTTGTTGAAACACTACCACCCCCCCCCCCACCCCCTTTCATCCCCAGTATGTTGTAAAAGCGGAATGATAAAGGACTTGGTGTTAAGCCAAAAAAAAAAAAAAGATACTGCAGCCCAGCTGTAAGCCACAACACATGTACCAATTACCCCTTTAACTGCGAAACGACGACGACAAAGAAACTGAGGTACAGATAGCTCTATCAAAACACACTAAGGACATTTCACCAGAATGAACAATCTGACGGCCATAAACTTTATCGACAAACACATCATCGGAAAACATCCAAAACATACAAGTATCTTTAGCAGCTAATCGACACCCATAAACACGGTTATGATTGCGTGAATTGCTTGCAACTGCCTGGGCTACCGACTATAAAAATTAATGCTCCGGAAAGTTCTTCCTCATTTTATCACAACAAAAATAAGTTTTTGTAAAATCAATTGTCAGCTTTAGGCGTTGCAAACGCGCTTCGTAATGGCCAGGTTTGATCCCAACTGCGAACAATTTGTCTTGCTTTGGTTTCGACAGTGTTTATCAAGGACTAAGCGTTTAGATAGTAATGGCAAACTAGTAAACTTAAAAAATGTGCCTAGAAAAACCACAACAGCCACACACACAAAATGCTGGGACTGGTTCTGGAACGTCCTGTAAGGGGTACGCAACAAACTTTTATTTTTCCAATCAATTAATTTATGCATAAAGAAATACAATTTAAACAACATGTGTCTAGCGCTTACGGGAAGCAAAAATTAGTAATAATGTGCACTACCAAGCATAACGTAGCAGCAAACAGGTCTGGTGAGACATGATTCGATTGCAAAGACTACTTCAAGGAACACTGGGTGGTATGGGGGGAAGGTAATCAAAGAAGAGGTTGGCAAAGAAGAACCTGCAATGACATCAAGAAATGGACATTGCTTAATTAATATTCGCCCGTTCCACAAGCAATAGCAAACTACTGGACGTAAATTTGCCTAGAAAAACCACACAACAGCCAGGGGCTGTTGGGGTTGGTTCTGCAACGTCCTGTAAAGGATACGCCACTAACCTGTTCCACAAGCGGAAGACATAGAAAAGATGGTGGGTACTCAAGAACGTACATTGCTAGAATTGGCCTTATCAGCCATCTGCGCACTCACAAAACCCAATCAAGCCACCAATGGATGAAAGGACCGGTCATCATCACCAGTGACGGATAAGCAACAAGGGTCTGACATTTCACATGGCAATTATCGGCGGTACAAAATCGAGAACTCAGCAGAAACATTCTCATAGCTACACGGGGCATACGGCGTTAGACACACGATTAACGACTAGTGCCCATTTGACCGGTGGGTGGGACTCAATATCTCGCCAACCGCCTGTACTTCCCACGATATTTCCTGACACCTACTTTAAAGTTGTTTTAAAGCTGGTCTATATGTAATATTTACATCACCTAGCTCCCCGTCTATGCGTTATGTTGTGCGTCGCTTCTGAATGCCGATGAAGGCTTGCGCCGCAACTTCCAACGAATGTTTACTGTAATTATAATTTGGTAAAACCTACATTTTTTTTCACACCGGTAGACATTTTGTGTCTTCCAGGTCTTTACATTTCCAAATCGTTTACCCCTGTTCGGAGCATTTTTTTAAAAGAAGGTGTTCCGGTAAGCCTTCTTTAGTCTTGTTTCAAACGATAAGCGCTGCGTACACATCCGTTTTACACATCTGACTGATTTGGATGCGGGCTGATGGTTACTATCCTCTCGGGCATATGGACTCAAACTCTGAAGGAAGCTCCCAATTAGCTGACTCTTACGACATGCTTATTGGGGAGGCAGTAGGTCTATTCTTGTCCCCTCCCCCCCACCCCCTTCCACAATAGGCCACCGGAATCCACACGGGAGGTGCATTTGGCTCTCCTTGCAATAACGGTCGCTAGTTGGACGGCGACAGCCGCTTCGTCGGAGTTCAGGTCCCTGGCTGCAGTGCAATTACGGAGTGGGAAAGAGGGAACGAAACAAATGACATAATTAGGGCTAGGGGTAGGGGTAGAGCTTGCGTCGCAAGAACGCGGTCGATAATGTGAGTCGCAGCGCGTGGTCTAGAAGCCGTGTTGAACTCAATTTGTTTTGTGATTCGTGCCTTGTCCACTCCGTAATCTCACTGCCTCTCATGCTTGGCTGTGTCGATCTTTACTCCCAGTTCGGCGCTTCTTTGAATCGTTCCCCAAAATGGCGGCTATAATATGATGGCGTTCAAAAGGGAGCTAAATTGGCCAATTTCTGGCCATAAAATATCCAAAAATATCCGAATGCGGGGTCAGTTCTATTAAAAATATATGTGCCGGCTCCGAATAACGAAACAAATGCTCTGACAGGGTCTGGGCGATACGTTGCTTGCCGACCTGCTTCTGCGAGTATACCCCCCGCGCCGCTACGCGCGGTTGGCCAGAATTGCCGCCAGTGGTTCTCGTATTCTTGGCAGTGGTGCGGTCACG